GAAAGCAGCCTGTGCCTCACACTAGGATATACTAGTTAAATTACAGAACAAATGTTGGTCACCAGACCTTAAAGCAGAGATGACAGCTGTGCTACCAGCTGATGCTCTGTGGTGTGGTCAAAAGGATGAAAACAGGTGATTTGAGGAGGTCTCACCACCTTGGAAGAGAAAAGCAGGCTGGTGCTTAGAAAGGCTGCTATAGTAAATACCTTTACAGAGAAGAGCAAAATGAATGCAATTCTGAGAAATCCCCAAAGCATACCAGCCTTGAGTGAGTCACAGCAACCAATTAGCCAGTTTTTCAAGCTGAGGAAGCTCCTTACTGTTGCTTGGGATATTAACCTATTTTATTACTGCAAATCCATTGCTTCTTAATTCTTTTATCTTACAACAGTATACACTGATAAAACTGCATTTCCATGGCTTTCCATTATTAAGGACCTGACAGGCCTCAGAAGCAGCATATGGGAGCTCTCCTGCAGAGCTCAGCATCTGAGGACCTTTCTGCCCCAAGAGCAGCAGGAGCCACCTCCTCCTGACTCCACGCACCAGTTGAGGGCATGGCATTTCAGGGGGTCTTTGTGGAAAAGGCATCTTCTAAGCACCGGCACTGGCTTGTAAAGCTTCTTCACACACAGCTAAGAAAACAACTCAATTCAAAGTGCCAAGGGAGTTTATCCAACAGTAGACAGCACCTTCCAACAAGAGACCTTCTAGCCTTAAAGAAAATATTGACCGACTACTTGGGGATTTTCAGGATGGGATTCAGCTGGGCATTCTCATTCAATATAGCACAAATGCAAGTGTATAAATACATCCTAATTTGGGGCTTTTGCACAAGAGGGTCAGCAGGTTGGTATCAATGACAGCCTAAGGGGAGAGCTCTAGAAGTTCACAGTATTCAGACAAAAGCTTGAATGTTTCCAGCCACCACTGATAACAGAACAGGCTGCAGGCATTACTGTGATTGGCAAGGTAGCTTTTGACACGGCCAGCACGTGCCTTGCGGGTAGGAAGACGACACTTGGACATGTAATAGTGATGGGGGCTCAAAGCAATAGGAGCTGAACACATTAGAGATCACGGAAACATATTTCAGAAATGGGAATGCAGCTGTTCTTGCGTGCACTACATTGAGATGCAGGCAGAGAACAGAGCATTGGGTTAACTCCAGTTTCAGCTCGCTTGGCAGTTGGCACGTTGAGTGTCATCCCTGCCTGGCTGGGGAGGGAAGGACATAAAAAGGCCCCTTTGCCCTCCGGTTGCAGTGGGAGCAAGCTAGCCCGAGAGGCTGTCAGTAATAAGCATGCACATGTTTTATTTGGCCCTAATCCTAAAATAATTGTTTGGTCACAATGGAAGGTGACAAGTTATTCAGCCACAACCCCTGAGGAATACCAGGAGAAAAATCCCCAGCCACTCAGAGTGGTGTGGGCTGCTCTGAAATGTCAGCATTGTATCAACCCTGGCAGCCCCGGGGCTCAGCCCCCACCCCGACCCCACAGCCCTCGCTCCAACCTTCACCTAAACCTTTTCTTCTCTTGCACTCGGATCAGACGGCTTCCTTGCCCTGCTTTCTGTGAGTAGCAAGAAGGTCACTGAAAGCAAGAGAGGGTGCACCAACCTCCACTTGGATGCGGCAAGGGCTGCTACTGAAAAATAAAGGCCTACTCAGCTTCTGGTTAGAGGGTGGAAAGCATGGATGGAATCTCTGGGATCATAGATATTAAATTAACAAACATTTCTACCTCAACATGTATCTACTGTGATTGCTCAAAGCCTTAAATATGAACAAGTTTGGATGGATTTCCATGGGATAACACAAAAGACAGATTATTGACACAAGAATCACCCGTGATTCAGGTTTCCGGTTCTTGCTCCAATGCATCAAAAAGATCACCATAACTGGATATGGGAACAATTTTTCCTCTTACTACGTTTTCAGAAGCAGCCAAATCATTTTAGCCAATTACTTAGTTTATTTTATTTTTTTCTAATAACCAGAGGCATGAATAATTTCCAGCATGGAAAATTTCTGCCTAAAGAGCTAAAACTGGCATGGAATCATAAAACAGAGTCATATAATAAAGGCCTCCAGCAACTGCAATAGCCAGTGCTACCAAGCTTACCTAGAGCATTTTTTTTCCACTGTATTAAGAGGATCTGTTTCACTCTTCTCCTTTCAATCCAATTTCCACTGTACGGCACCACAAGTTTGCAACATATGCATGATACCAGGGAAGGAAGGGGAAAACCGCAGTTTCCTTCATTCTTTCAACAGAGGCAAAAGGAGTGGTTAATTTTTTTTGTAAGGGAAGTTGAGGGGAGTGGGGCGACGGGTGGGCGTAAATGTGTGTTTCAACTCTGTGTGCACCATGATGTGTATAAAGAACATTTTCTTCTAAAGGTGCTCCAAGGCGTTTTGCAAATTTGTTGTGCTCATACCACAGCCAGTTCATGTCTCCTTCTCCAAACGGTCTCCGGTGACAAGGCTTTCCACCAAGGAGCACGCACAGCTCCAGCTAAGATACCAAGCAGAGGAAGGAATAGCTGCTATTTCCTCGTGTGCCCTCACGCGCAAGCGGCAAAGCACTCCATGCAACAACTTGGGAACGGAGAAGGCAGCGGCAGTCCCAAGAGACTTCGCCCCTTTTGGGGCAAATGACCACATCTGCTTGGACACAGCTGATACCCGAGCATCAGTGAAAATGAGATGCTGTGGAGAAAGAAGCGCTGAGCTCCATTTCCTTTCAGTGCTGGCTGCTGCCCAACAGCTGTTCCCTGTTTATTTACTTTAGTATTTCCTTGGTTACGCAAGCAGCTGCACACACCTTACCCCCTGCCTGCACCCAGCGCTGCCCTGGCCGCGCTGCCCACCCTGCCTCGGCCAAGCGCGCCACCGCGAGACAGGGGCAGCAAACCCAGCGATTCCCATCTTTCCCCAGCTGCTCCTTGCCCTTCCTCTCCGAGCCCCCTCCACGACATCCTCCACCACCCGGCATCTCTGCACACCCGCTTTCTGCGGCGGGGAGAGCTGTGCAGTCTCGCTGCTCTTCACGCAGACCGAACCCGATGTCCCTTTGCAGGGTTACAGCTCCCAAGAGGTTGTCTTGTCGGGCAGGGAACAGGGCTCCGTGGACGTGAAGCGCGGTCGCCGTCTTACACAAACTGACCTGCACACCCACATCTACAAAGGCTTTTCAAGCCGACCTGAAGCAAACGAACTAGCCGGACTTCCTTAAGCCATCTGGATTCCCACAGGCTTGCTTTGCTAGGCAGGCCCAGATGCGCTGCAGTTTTAACAGTGTGCTTGGGCCTGGGTGCACCCAACCCTTAGCAGTCAGAAGTGAGGCATCCTTGTCCCAGGGCACCCGCAGAAAGCACGGGACCCTTTGAGCCAGCCAGCGGAGGCAGAGGGTGCCGAGCTCCTCAGAGTCCCACGCGCAGGCCAAGGAGGGAGATGCCAAGGAGCTTTCTGGCAGCTGCGGCAGGCCCATAGATCACTTCACGCATTTTCCTTTCTCATCTGTACAGAGCCAGTTCCAGCAGCTCAGTTTGTGTTTTGGCTCATAAAGCCCAGCCAGACCTCCTGGCTCATCTCCACCATCTAAGGAGGGGGTGGAAAACACCCTTTGCCTGCTTGCCCAGGACACTAGCTTCAGTCGGTTTTCTGCAACCCGTTCTGTCCCAAATGCCTTTCCAGCTTCCTCCCTTCCTCTCTTCTCTATTTTCTTCCTGGCTGCCCCACTCTACCCCATACCAGGACATAATCGCTAAACCAGCTGCTATCAGCTGTCCTCCGGGCTGGCAGTGTACTCCACTGGATAAAGGGAATTTCTCTAGTGCCTGCTCCCTGAAGCACCAATCCTGAACGACAGCAACCCCCCAAAAATCAGGGCTTTTTGGCAGCAGCCCTGCTTTGTTGCAACAGCAGCTGGAAAAGGCACAATATTAACCCCACACGCTTGCACAGATTCCAGCTTGAGGAATTCACGCGCACATCTGTTCTTCCTCCTTACCACCACAGGGATTGGCAGGCTCCTCGGGCAGGAGGGCTCTGCAGGGAAGGTGCGGGCAAGGCAGGGGAGGCAAGTGGGGTGCCCGCTGCCCCAGCGGGCTCCCCAACCCTGAGCACACCGCCTTGTGCCGGGTGACCAGCGAGCCTTCAGCTCGCGAGACGCCAGACTGCGAGGGGCCAGTTTGCAAAGTTGTGGCTGCAGCCAGGGAGCTAAAGCAGCGCAGTAGGCATGGGCTGTTTAGATACCACAGTCCATCATACTTAAGCCAGCTCTGAAATAACTTGGGGAGGCAGAGGCAGAAATAAAACACTCGGTCTCTCTACCAATTCAGCTGACCAGGGAAAGAGCAATGGGGATATCTGAAGAGTCCTGGGATGCAGGATGGGAGTCTAAGCGGGAGGCTGGAGTGAACAGGCATCCAGAGCAAGCATTCACCTCACCTGGGCTGGAGACAAAATCCACCTCAAGGCAGGCACTGAACCTCATTCCCTACAGAAAGGGCTCCCTATAGGATTAGGATCTCCCTGATAAAATTCAATGCAAGGAAAGCTAAAATCACTTGAGAGGCGTACTGGAACACAGCCACTGAAAGAACATCTTCAGCCAGGAACGACATTACACGGACCATTTCTGAGGAACAGGTCCTGCCTCCCATTTCAGTAAATCAAGCATTTAGCGAGAGGAATGACAGAACTCCTCTAATACTGCTACACGCAAGAGCCCCGGGGTGTACACACAGAATTACAAGCATTACTGAAGGGAGAAACTGCTCACCAGCTAAGAGCTCAGCTTTTGAGGGTGCTTTGTTCTTGCTTTTTCAAGGATGTCCAAACAGCATTTACATTTCCTCAAATCAAAACATTTTTGGTAGATTACAAAAGGAACACTTACCTTTAGCATAAAATACAAACCGTACTCCTCCCAATTTACCCCTTTTCACCCCTCCAAAGTTAAATGCACAAGAACTGGAGAAATGCTTACCTGCAGGTCAAAGAACTTGCTGTACCGTCGGTATATGACTTCTGTGGACCCATTGGACCACGTGACTTTGATAATGTATACCTGTAGGGCACAGAGGAAGAAATCAGAAAAGCGACAGAGAACAGCCCACACCACAAACAGCTGCTAAAGCTGCTAACACAACCCCGCTGCTGGACTTCAATAAGGAAAGTTCATGGGAGCACCTACAAGTCGACAATTAACTTAAGCACACATATTTTGTAGTGTTGCTGAAGTTATTTCTACTCCATTGCTGGAACATAACTATCTGCAAAATACTCACAGCTGTGACTCTAGATAGCTCCCTGTGTCCCTAAATATGGGCATATACAATCTGTGAAAGGGCACTTCATTTAAAAACAGGGTAGAAGTCACTCCAGAAGCAGATGCATTAGTAGTTAATAACTATGCCTTGACCATCCCAGCTATGGCTGCAGCATCACGTGTGACCCAGAGACCCCCCAAACTGCAGCCTGCGATGCACTGTACTGCACACCGTAAGTCAGCCTCGATCTCAGAGCTGCAGCTTGCAAGAACTTATAATCCAAAAGGACTGAGAACTTGGCCAGTTTTTCCATCAAGTAGCTCTGCTATCACCTTAAGGTTTTGTTTACTTAAACTTGCTGGGGTACAAGTTACCCTCCTATTCAATAAAATGATACAATTGCCAGGATTAATTGTGTAAGTTATTCACAGATCATGTGATGCGGCTTTTACTAGTAGTGAATGCAAAAAAAAAACCCGGTTCGATTATTCTTCCATGAAAGACAACAAGTAACAAACAGACTTGGGGAACTACTTATTTAATGTCCTCATTTGTTGTTCGCAGAAACCAAAGACAACAGTTGATGAGATGCCAAATAATTCTCAAGTGTTGCAAACCTCTGTCTTCACTAATTGATAACAGACTGCCTGAATGGGTCAAGAGCATGTTCATTTTTGATTCTTACTCTAACATCCTGCGTATTTCACCAGAAATTCGCCAAAGCAGGAACAAAACACTGAGAAGGCTCAGGGAAACGGAACTGCCAGGAACTTCAGATTCACAGAATGAAGAGCAAAGGCTCCTAGAATGATGCTGGTTTGGTATTCAAATTAAAATCCCTTACAGTTTCACAACTTTTCCCACAGAGACATACATTTTTCCAGATGCTGCAATCCAACCAACATCTCAACCCAACAGCCACGCTCAAACATCAGGTGACCTAAACGGATAGTGCAACACTAAAGTCTTTGAGCTAGTCAAACCTCCTTTAATGCCTTACTAAAAATCTAAACTAAAGGTCATTCCGCTTCTCCGCTTCTCAGTCTCGGACTGACATAGTATGAGCTACCAAGGTGAAGCGACTGAGGGAACCACACACTCTTCCCCGTGGAGTCACTTTCCACTTTAAGACGGAAAAAGAGGCAGAGAGATGAAGCAAGTTCCCATTGCTAAGATAAAAAACTTCAGTAGTTCCAATCCAGCAGTTAAGCGACCACTTTTCTTAAACCAGATGATCTGCCCAGACTCAGCTGCTACTGCTTTTCTAACTTGCAGTAAACTGCTTGGAGCGCTACACACACCACTGCCTTCTACCAGACAAAATCAGAATCACTCAGCTTCGTCTTAGAGCCCTAATTCACCTAACCACAAGTCTTATTTCTGAACTGAAGGACCTGCGCTTTCCTCCCATTAATACAATGAAGATTTGGGACTTTTAGAATACAGCATTTACAACGTCTTTGAAGGCCTGGCTGGATAGTACTTTATTATAACAGAGGCCCAGGCTCTATGCTCAGTTACCAACGACTGTGGCTTGATGATTCCCTCACACCTGCTCAGCCAACACCTGCCTGAGCACATACACATGCTCTTCAACCTCCACAGATGAGAAGCAACTCAACTGACCACACTTTGCGGTGAAAAAGGGTTAAGCTACACGAGGTGGTGTCTGAAATTTCTGAGGGCATCTGTGCACTTACCACCTCTCAAGCACACAAGGTAATCTCTCAGCCCGGCTGAGCCCAAGGTTTATTGGGAATATTCAGTTCCCCACCACTACCAAAGTGGTTCAGTGCATCCTCTGCTTTTCCAAGACCAGCCTCTCTTGAACAGCACCTGCCTGCTCCAGTGGAACAATAGCGAGCGCTCACGTTTTGGGCAAGACAGATCCTATCATCAGCAAACCAAGTGTTAACTTCATGCTAAGAGAGCATCCAAGCTGCCTCTACCCTCACCCCAGGACTTGCTGGGAGGCCAGCATGAGCTCATTTTGGTTGGAACCTCAGCTGATATCCCAGCTTTCTTACCAGTCCTCAGCACTTCACGGGGTTATATCACTGCTGGCTGCCTGCCTGGAGAACGCCTTCCACTGGGGCAGGAGGAAGAGCCAACTTTTCTTCATTGTTTATTCCTATCCTGCCTGTATTTGGAGTCAACTGTTTATTACACTGGGATTTTAGTCAGGATGTGGATTCCCTCAAGACAAAATGAATTTAAAGCTCAAAAGGGTAATAAAGCCTTGAGATTTGAGGGCACACCATGCTTTATTATACTCTTTGTAATTGAGGGAAGGGGCAGTTCTCCCAACTTATGAGCTCACTGCTATTTTGCTGACGTGCAGATCTCGGGAATGTCTGGAAAACAGTTTCTTGCACATCCCATTTAAACAGCAGAAAAGTCTCTGTGGAGGTACCCTCCTCACCTGTCTGTGGAAAACAGAAGAGATAGGAAAACACTAGGAAAACACACAGAAAAGGGAGATTCTCAATATCCTTCACACTGACAGCCCCACACGACCAAAAATTGTGCAAATCTTGCTCTATGCTGATACTTACTCCAGTCCCTGATGCTCTAGGGGCAACAAACCCACAAAAAAACAAAAAACAAAACATATCCACAAAAGAACCACACACACACACACACGCACCAGAATGCAAACCTCAGGCACCCCTTAACTGACAATAAAGGGGCATATTTTCAAAGGGCGCAGTCAGACACACAGCAGTGTTTTCCAAAGGGACTGTAGATGGTCAGGTACTAAGCTCCCACAGACATGCAACCATCCCTTTCTCGGGGGCTTTTGGAAGACACTTTCAATGACAGGACAATTTTGAAGACATTGCACTCAGGCTGAAGTTTTACGTTTCCCCTCATGCACAGGGTACCTCCTAATGTGGCACTGCACTTCATCCACCCGTGAGAGCCTGTGAAGTGAGATGCTTCCTCCTCCTCCATCAGTTCCCAGCCTGCTGGCTGAACTTGGCTGTAAAAGCCGAAAAAATTCAGTTTTGTCCCCACAGGAAGCCATCCAGCACCAGTTCCAACAAAACACAAAGCACGTTCCTGCGCACAAAACACGAGAGGGCACGGAGCTGCTCAGCTCTGCAGAGACTGCTCCAAGAATGGGCGTTTTCCATGCCTGGCTGTGTGGGTGAGGGCATATGGAAACAGTTATTTCATGGGTCTTCTCCAGGTTTTCTATAGTCCTTTAAAGAAATAACATATAGAAGCCACCAGCAGGCCTTTTCCATGGAAAGAGCGACTCCTCATGGAGGATATCTCCTGGGGCTGCAGCTGGCTCTGCCTTGGGTCTCCACACCCAGCAAAATGCTCCATTCCCAAACGACGAGCACAGCTGGGCTGGGCTGCAGTGAATGGGGGGAAGCCAGAGCTCAAATCCAGCTCAGAGATTTCCTCAAGGGGTGGGGAGAGCCAAGCAGATGGCAGGGAGGCAGCAGGCAGTGAGATCCAGGAGGGGGGCTGCAACCCCATCACGTGGACTGGGCCAGTGGCCAAAACCAACAGGCAAAGCTATCTAAATATTTAAAGGCCTTCTTGGGCCAGCAGCAGGGTCTGCACCATGGAGGGAAGCTAGCTGACTCTGTGAAACCTGGGAAGCAATGGTTCTTCTCCCTCCGGAAAGGATGCCTGACACTGTCCCACTCCCAACCCCGCAAGCCTGAAGAGCCTCCATCCCATGCCCCACTCCAACCTAGGTTCCTGCACACATGTCACATCAAAACTGCAGCTAAGTTTGATGTCTAAAGGCAAAGGGCCAAAATGAGCTTTGGAACAGGCAGAAATCACTGAGATCGAAACCCTCTCACACTCTCACTTAATTTGAGCCATAGATCACAGGAGAATAATTGAAGTTCATGCCCATGCTTTTGAAATTCTTGAAATACAGTTCATGGCATTTGTCCTGCTAGAACAAGGCACAGAGGAGGGGTATAGAGTTTTCAGAGATACTTAAATACACTTGAAGTCTACTTCCAGAATTAAAAAAAGCCACATGCGTGCATCTCCCCTCCCCAACATCATCCTTCTCCAAACCGTCTGCTCCCTTGCCTTCAAGTTTTCCAGGCAGCATCATGCTTTCCAAAACCTCTAAGCACAAGACAATTCACACTTTGCAGCTAGCCTGAATTACAGAGCAGAAGCAGTACTAGGCTGGACAATCTTTTCAGAGCCACAGCACACACTGAAGAGAGGGAACAAGATCTTCCCTCTGGTTCCACATGCCTTTTCATGGGTGGTGGAAAGTTCAGAGGCCACAGTGACAGTTTCAAAGGTGCAGGGGGTCTTGCTTAACGCTGCAGGAGAGGAGCCCTTCATATTAAAGCAAAACACACCACATGCTCCCGTTCCTTGGGGAGCAGAACTGGAACAAATCCTTTACGGAAACTGGAACCCAACAGATGCAAAAATCTGAACTCTGACAGTCCCAACAATGCCTTCATTCACTAAACTTCCTAGGAAGCTCTACATTACAAATCATTGGCCATACACCAACAGTTCAAAAATTACCAATCAAGAAGTTTATCAGGACCATGGTTCTCCAAGATTCTCTTTGATCACCTCTGATGTAGAGTGCCCTAGCTGGAAATATAAACATGGAAAAAAGACCCGTTAGATCATCCAAGTCCATCCCACTGGCTATCACAAAATTGTTCCCCATAGAGCCTGTCTCATGTGATCTCACGCGTATCGCAGCTTTTCTCCCTTCTCCAGTGTTTCTGGAGACACAGTTCAGAGCAAGAATGAGCCAGTGGAAAGTGGGACTGAAAACCTTCATAAG